AAAATATTTAACAGATTCGACTTAACGTGTGAGCTGGATTAAAATGTGAGTTTTCATGTATTTTAGTACAGAGTTTTTGGGAGGCCGTTATTTTAAATAGTTTGCAATAATTAGTCGGATACATCATTTTAAATATTGTAAATAGCAATTATTAATTTTAAACGAAGTAAATCTTCTATCTTATGCAAAAAAAATTTTGCGAGACTTCAACACCTGTATTTTGAATTTTGCAAAAAAGAATTCATTTTATGAATTTGAAGATTTGCATGTTGCCCGTTGTAAGTGTAACATCGAAATTATAAGAAGTGCTGTTACATGTTTACAAAAGGCGTTAGGACATGGTTTTGACGAATTCGCGGGTGAATATCTCTGGTGGGGAGTTGAATTTTGAACTGATTTTTGGTCAGTTGCAAGATAATACTCTCAAAAAGATATATTTAAAATTTTAGGCCGATAGCTTCATAAATGCCCCCTCCAGTGCCCCCAGAGTTGGAAGGAGCCAAAAAAACACTTTCCAAACTGAATTACTCATATAGCATGATAACCTAAGAGGTCAGAGGTGAATGATTGTTAATATTACAACCCTAGATAATCATTGCATGTAATAATAAAATAATCCACAATGAATTACATAACGTTGGGCCTCCATCGTCGCTGATACTTTTTCATGAAAATTGATAAATCGGACCGTGCACTGGAAAATTGACCTATTGACCTTGAAAGCTGACCCACTCGGTCAAATGAAGATTGAGGGTAAAGCTGGAAGTGTCATACGTAATATTAAATAGAACAGTAAAGATTTTAGGCAGCCAGTTTTGGAGAAGGACCCGAGCTAATCAGCTGACGCCGAATCCTAAAAAACTCATGAACTTATTTAGAAAATTATTGGTCAAATGTTGTTGAAAATAAATTTTTATAACTTTTTTGTGTCCCCTACCGCAGAACTATTTTACCTACAAGGTACAAGTGACAAAATAATAAAATCACTGCGTTTTGATTAGTTAAAAAGTTTTTAAAGTTCCGCTTCAATTTTGAGCAAAAGTTTTGTAAACATTTTATATGGTTTGATGAAAACTCGGTCCGTGGGGTGTAACCACTTATCAAAATTTTATCAAAAGTACTTACAGTGCAATATACCATATGTTCCTTGGATAAAAACCATGTTAGGGATTTTTAGCATCAAAGTCCTAAAATGTGGGGGCCTTAAAAGTCGAGGAGTTGCGTTCACGAGAGCATTCCATTAGGACAAGTATGAAGCTAGACTACAAAAGGGACTTATAAGATAAGCATGCGACAAAAGTGGTTTTATATAGTGAAAAGCATGCTAAGTCACATGATAATAGTCGCAAAGACGATTTTTGCACCAGGACCTCAGAAAAAAATATTTTGTTCAACGCCATTTTATAACAACACTGGTTTGGAAAACTAAAAAAGGACACCTCTCCAAATTTGACCTTGCCTCATTTCGCAGAGTACACAAAATCGGAAGCCAGATATGCTTACCTATAGTTTGAGACATCGGCTTTCACATAAAAAATGTTAGAAATCTCTACAACTAAAAACCATCCCGCCATTAAGGTATGAATTCGTCAAAACTATGTCCTAACGCCTTTTGTAATAAAAAAAATGAAACATAAAATTTTTGTGATATTATTTTAATTTGCTTGAAAAAAATTAGTCCGGCGTATAGTTTTTGATATTGCATTTAGCAATTATTGTTTAATAAAGTCTTTTTATGGCAAACATTTACGTGTTGGGCTTCAATACTTTGATTTGGAATTTTGCGAAAAAGAATTTGCCTGGTAAATTTCAGATAAAGCTAACGCATGTGGAAAATAGAATCATGGAAATTACAAGAAATGCTAATAAAATAAATAAATCACCCGATGTGTCATGTAATTTCATGAAGGTACATGACTTTCGCTCTACTTCTCTCACATTTGCCTACATGCATACCAAAGTTTGTGACTTTCTCTGCCTAATCAGGAACTCGAACTATTGGTTTGGAGTTTGAATTTGTGAGTCTCAAATTTCCATTTTTCTTCTTCGTTGCTCTAATAACGATTTTGAAACCTTTTTATCTCCGTGGGTTGTTACAATATAAAGACTTAACTTTAATGCACCTAAAAATCGATAGTTTTTAGGTTTACAAAGTTAGGAGGTTAAAATTTTGATTTTTTTCCATGAAAAAATATTTAACTATAAAATAGGAATGATAAGTAAAGACTAAATATTTTCTTATGGAAGATAAAAATCACAATTTTAACTTCCTAACTCCAACGCCTGTATTTGTAATTTTGGGAAACATAATTCAATTGAAAAATTTAAGATAAAATGATTTAGTTGCGGAAATTTTAACAAAAAGCATGATAAGTATGTTGTTACGCTTTATAAAACAAATAAATCATGCGATGCTTCATGTTCCTGTAATTTCATGAGAATACATGACTTTCGCTCTACTTTCTCTTAAATTGGTCTACATTCATATTAAAGTTTGTGGTTTTCTCTACCTCTCCGTGAGCCTTAACTGTATGTATGATTCGAAAGTGAAAGTTGGCACAGGTTTGGGTAAGTTCATATCTCGACGAACTCCACAATTTACAATGTGGTGTCATAAATTTGGTGAAATTTTAAGCGCTAAAGAGGACGAATAATGGCTGTGTTCGGGGTGAAAGTATGTGTAATGTACGGTACAAAAAGTGTGGTTGTAATCATACCTGTTCACTTTCATTCATGTGACTGATTATGATAGTGAATGAAAATGAATTTCCTGTGATTTAAGTGAAAATGATTGAAAGATTCCGTCATTTCAGGTGAATGACGGACTGTGAATGAAAGGATTTCTCACTCATTTCATTTTTCACCCTATGCTTAATACATGGGCCGAAGTAAGAAATGAAGTCGGATGATGTGAATTGAAATGAATTTGAAACAAAATGAGCATGAATGAAAATCTTCAGTTAGAAAAGATGACTGAACTTTGAATGAAAAAAGTTTTTTTTGAACAGGTATGGTTGTAATCGCGTTAATAATTCTGGAATGAGAATTAGATGAACTTCGTAATCAAATGAAAAAGTGGAGCATTGCAAACAAAGTGATTTTGTTAGAATGTCGGTTTTCAAAATAAAATAAATTTGCAAAATTTATTAACCCCCGAGTAGTTTTTTTATCATATTTCTCTGTCCTTCTTCAAACAAATAGGACCAAATATCATAAGTTGTAGTAAAAACCTGAAATTTGAATGTAAGTAAATTTCAAGATTTTTTGCAAATACAGGGGTGGGACAGAAGAAGGAGCCACTTGAATTTTAGGGGTGGCGTGTGATGCACAGTCGCGGCATTTTCAAAATTTGCATATGTCATACCCAGATAGTTAACGAAAATTTAGCACTATTCAGATTTTCCCTACGGTTAAAAATGCCCCTGCAGCACCCCCCAGAGTGCGAGGCACGCATAAAAGTGTTTTCCAAAGACATACTGAGCCAGAGAGCGATTGTTAGAAAATTTGCTGCAAATGGATTTATCGTCGATCGAAAGTACGTTTCTAATTTACTTAAAAACGTTGGAATCAAGCGGAGGGAAAAAGCGGTTAGAGCTCCACCCCCACGGAAAGGATACCCAAGATCCGCTTGAACCAAAAAGTTTATCCGGAAAATCAATTTTTCGCCAAAACGGTAAATCCACCAACTAAAAGTTGCATGGCGAAAATGTTAAACGTTAGTAGGAGAACATTTCTAGAGTCATTCACAATGACCTACAGCAAGTGACTCGTAGGAAATCCCGAGATCATGCTCTCATCCCAACTTATTTCTCACAAAATATCAGCCTACACGAAGGATTTTAAAAAAAGTTTGGGTATAACAATTATTCCTACTATAGAAACTCTCGTTAGTTCCTCTGATATCAATCCGATGTTTTTTTTGGATTCGAGTACTTAAAACAGAGCCTTCTTGAAAGGAAAACGCGTGCGTTTTGATGCACTTTGGAAAAGTGTTCAGGACGAGTGGTGCAGAATCACTCTGAAAATTGTGTCAAAGGTCATTACTGGTTGGAAAAAGCGACTGAGGCTCGTTAGATAAACTAAAGGGCTTCACACTGAACCAATTACCAAACTTCACAAACGAATAATAAGGCCGGAATAAATTTAGGCAAAGTGGCTCCTTCTTCTGTCCCACCCCTCTGTAGAACTGCTAGCTAATTGTAATTTTTTGGGTTGTTTGGTTCCGATAATTAATTATTTGAATTATGCAAATATTCAATGTTTGATAACACAGGTTATGGAAGACCATCTTTATGACTTGAAGTTCAGAAATTTTGGACAATTTTAATTTCGCAATATTTTTGGTAATCTTTAAATTTTCAAAAGTCTCCAAATTATATGGGCAAATGTCTCATATTTGATTACTCTGGCAAGGTAGATACATGAAATAAAATAAACTCTGTAAAATATATTATAGTGTTTTTCTACTTCATTTCGCTCTTTCATTCTTTAAATATGTAATGTAAATATCATAAAATTTCATGAATTGTAGCAAAAACCCGAAGTTTGGAGTGTTGGATTTAGACAAGACAAGTATGAATCTAAAGTCAATTTGAAGATTTATTTTTACAAAATTTGCGAAAAAATCCTGAAATCTTAAAATTTATGAACGGGGCTTGAAAAATTGGTTAGAGAAGCTTTTGGGAGAATTAAAATCAGGAGAACAATAACGATACAGCAATTTTAGTAAAATGCTTCCCATGGGATTTAATCTACATAATTATCATTTTTGAGTTGATTTAGTACCGATTATTAATATTATTTGAGGTAGTTAAATAATCAAAGTACGAGTAGAAGTAGATGACAATGACATTCAATTGTTCATGAAATTCATTAGGATAAGTTGTCGGAAAAGATTTAAAGGTAATTTACAAAATTTGCACAATTTTAATTGTGTTAATTATTTCAAATATATATTTTTTTAATTTTCAATGTCTCAAAATTATATTTTCAAAGTTTCACTATTTTAGTTTACCCCCTGTAAGGTCCCTACCTTTGGTGGCGTATTGTGTGGTCAAATCAGGCGGGTACCCTTGGCCTTGGGACCCCTTGACGAGCTTGTAATGCTGGTGCGGAGTGGCTGCATCGTACATTATTCCACCCTGACCGTGACCGTAAGCTTGACCTTGACCTCCTCCACGGTCAAGATAGGACGTCCCATCGCCAGTTCCGGCATAATTGTGCTCACCAATCACCCTTTTGGGGTGTGGAATGCCCAAAATTCCTGAAAATAATTTTAAATAAAATCGAAAATTTATGTGGTGATTTCGTCGGTAAAAAATAATTTCAATTTATTTTATACAGATATGTCATACTTTTCATACAATTTTCAAAAATATGAGTATTTTTAGTTAATATATATGGCATGTATCATCAAATAACGTTTTTTCGCGCTGTAACTATGTTGATGTACTTGTGATATAATCCGTAATAAAATTAGGAGGAGCTTAGCGAGTTTTGCGCTAAATATATTGTAATGCCAAAATATGCAGATTTTTTCACGAATTTTTGTATATTCACCATTTCACATCTATATTTAAGAAATTTTTATTTCAACATTTTCGTTAGTTTACAAACGACGTTTAACTCGTACACTTGGTAAATATAAGATTGTCAGCGGAAATTCTTCCACGCATAGTTTATTGAAATTTTGAATTTTTCGCTAACTTTACAGTATTGCAAATCGGAAACATTTTTGTTAAACAGTTTTACTCCGAAATTTTTTGCGAGCATTGTTTTTGTTGCAAATGTTAATTTTATGGAATGAATGAATATGAATTTTTAAAGTTCTGTATACTCGGCCCTGCAAATCTCTTGAGCTGAACCTGTTTCTGCAAAAAGTAAGTCTATTTCCAAATTTTGGACGGTGTTAATCAGTTTTTGAGATATAAGTTAAAATATGCCAAATTTTCATTACCAATTTTTTTCTACTGTGCAAAACTTACGTTTTCTCCGGAAGTAGCAGAAGAATGAGATGACGGCGGTGACCATGATGAGTGCGAGGATGGAGGGGAAGACGATCAGGAGCGACGTGCTTAGCGTGGGGGCCTTGTTTTCTCCCAAAGCACGCTCACCATCACGACTTTCTTCAGTACTTTCTCCCCGGTATTTTCCACCACCTGTGGATCAAACCCACACAATAAAAATCGGGAAAATACACGTATTTTGATTTTTGTGAAGTTGATTCATATTTTATTCCAATTTTGGCAAGAAGCAATTAGGGAACGACATGGTACCCAAAATTGAGTCGGTTTTTACCGGGTGGTTATGATAATTATCGAAGGATATATCTTTTACTAGGAGAAATTTATTCAGCACGTGGCTAGATGAGATTTATTGTTACCCTCTGGTAAAGAAATTACTACTAATTGTAGCCATCAGGTAAATAAATTTACACAATTTAATGGGGTACAAATATAGGATTGAAATATTAAATTGGAATTGACAAATTTTAATACCGGATTTAATTTTGTTTAAAAATTAATTTAACATTATAGATTTTAGATTCGTCCATGGCGAGCCGCCAGGTATTGATTTCTCGGTATTAGAGTTACTACCGCTTGGTTTTAAAATTGTGGATATCGGTTCGTAAAAATTTGCTAACGATATGGTAAAACTTTAAGGCCGAATTATTCATACACGGTATCACTTATTAAGACCACATTTGTAGAGTCATATATCATCATATATGAACACCGCCTGGTATTATTTTAATACTGGATTTCGAAGACTGCAGATAAATTTCGAACAAAGGTTAACTAGTGTACTTTGCTACCACGGTGGAGTCAATTATTTACCGGGGAGGATAAACTCAAATTTTGTGAATAATTATAATCTTTACCCTTCCATAATAAATCGTTACCAACTCGGCATTAAACTTGTTCTTACATTATTTAGCTTGAGTAAAATGCAATAATTGTGTTGCCGTTACTGTGACTGGTGGTGGCCTGTGGGGGAAGTGATCCGGTGAGAAATTCGTATTTTGCCAACGTGTCGCCGGCATGGTTTCCGCTCGTGACGCGAATGTCGTACCGCGTGTTGGCGTGCAGTCCCGTCAACGTGTACGACTTGGCAGAACCCTGGCAAACAAATTGATAACCTTTATAAGTCAATTATTGGCCAAAATACAAGTGACAAAAAAAGTTTGTTCCTGATTATTCACAGTTAATCACACTACAAGCGGTAATTTGATAAACCACAATTTTTTTTTCTAAAAAATAGATGATTGGGTGGATTTATGTAGATGCAAATAAAAATAATAGCCATAAATTTAATACATCTGTGGCGTATTTGTGAAGTAACTCTAAATAATTTAAAATTGCTAATTGGCTTTAAACCAATGATTTTGCAAATAATTTTGGAATAATAAACAACAAAGTGCAAACATGACTTTTTGTAATCATTTCGTAAAATTGATTTGGAAAATTTCACATGCAAATATGCATGGTAAAAATGTCAAATGTATATTATTAAACATATTATTTGTCGCAAATAATATTTCGCAATACGTTTTTACAGAAATTATTTTAAGACAGATTTATTTACAAGTTTTTTTCAATTGGTATTACTTTTAATGTATATAAAATGTGCAACTGTGTAAAAAAAATCGCGAATTTATGTGCAGACTTATATTAAGCTCGGCCGGAATTCGCATCCAGGTTTTTTCCTGAGACTGTTTGTATTCGATCATAAATCGGAGAATGGGGCAGCCGGCATCCTTCCAAAGGTCCAGACGCACCACGATCGTCGAGTGGTTCGAGACAAGGGCTTCCTCCTTCTTGGGCGAAATTGGGGCTGCAAATTTTTACAGAATTTTACGAAATTATGAAATGTTTGGCAGGTTTTAAAGGAACTACGTAGAAAAAATAAGTTGATAACAAAATAAATTAACAGGATTTTAGGAAATTATCAAAATTATCCAGTATGCTCAAGATAAGTGTTAACAAAATACGTAAGTTTCGAGGCAAAATTGCAAAATTTCATAAAAACTCGGCGAAAATTTAACTAGAAATTTTATTTCATGATAAAGTTCAATTCTGTCGCATTTAAATTATGAAAAAAATAATCAAGTTTTAATTAAAAATACTGTAATTTAAAAGCTTCATCTTCATTGCTTAAGAAATTATTTTTAGGCTTTGTCTAAATCCTTCGCTTCAATTTTTTCGTGCAATCGTTACAAAACTATATGTATACTAAAAAAACAATATACAAATATAATAACAATAATTTGCAAATATGTTGAATATGCATATCTTAAAAATCTAAATGCCGAAATATTTGCAAAATATCGTCTTTATGAAAACGTAAAAATGTTGCAAAAATTCTTGTAGTCAAAACGTCGAAAACAAATATTTACGAATTCTGCATATGTAAATTACGAACAGATCAAATTCATCTTAGGAGTATATAGTATTTTATTTACATTCACCAGATATTTGCGAAATTTTGATTATTCAAAAACTAATTTTCAAAATTTTCCTCACCACTGCCTTTGGTGTTGCGGGTCAAAATATCTGACGCGGGTCCGGAGCCGATTTTGTTGGTGGCGGTGATGCAGAGTTGGTAGGTGGACCCGCAGAGGAGCGGCTGCAGGGTGTGCCCCGTCGCACGTGGGCCAACAACCTCCGCCTCCTCCCACTCGTCCCCATCTCGACGGTAGCTCACCAAATACCCTACGAGTTAAACAAGCTCTTATTTAGGAACATACATAGTTAATTAATATGCATAATCATGAATTTGCAAAAATTCTGAAATTGGAAAATTTTTTATAACTAAACTAGGTTTGGAGGATTTCGATACGTTTGTTTGCAAAAATTTCACAAATTGGGGACATCATCCTTTTATCTCTATTTTATTTTAAATAGTGGTAACAAAATTGTAAAAAAATGCAACTTAATTTTTTTGTGATCATAATTACCAAGATAATTTGTTAAAGATGGTGCTGGTATTACAGCCACTTGGAACAACTTAAACAATTCCAATTTTTTTACATTGAATAAAAATTCTTACTCGTATTATTTGCGTTTGCCCCCATCTATTCATTTGTAAATCTAAAGAGTTAGCTGGCAACCTGAGATTACGGGATGGGAACGGTGCGAGCAAGATTTACAGTCTGATTCCGACGTGTCCTTAAAACTGGGAGAGGATGAGAGCTCACCAGGGTTTCCCTGTGGTTTTAACCACCGTTCAAATCCGGTTTTAATCAATTTTGGACACCGCATTTTGGACGTCCAAAATGTCCAAAAGTTTTCAAAATAAAACACGAGTCACAATGGTAGAAGTTCTTCATTATTGAATCTTTAACTGATCGGGTAATGTATAAACTTGTAATGTCACATAAATTTTGAGAATTTTGCAATGCAATACTGCATGGTTTAGAAATTTCATAATTTCTCATAAGAAAACATGTAAAAATAAAAGTACTCCAAAATTTCGTGGTATCACGGACCAAACAAAATACTTTTGTTGATACGTCCGTCAAGCAAGAAAAGTGTCAAAGGTTCATTCAGAGGATGGGAAAGTGGGAGGAAGTCGGGAGAGGAAGACGCTGTAAATCAGAAAATAGAGGAAAAAACGACGGGACAAAAAAGGATAATAAATCATACCGCGGAGATTTTGTGATGAAAATATACCAAGTTTTCTTCTGAGGATCATGTCACTCGACAATAAAAATCATGTATAATAAAATAAACTGCATTTTTAGCATGTTTCTTAAATTTTCTTAAAGTTTCTTAAACACATTTAGTTTGATTACAAAATTGTGCAAAAAACGAATCATCAAGGTGTAATTGGCTTGGCATTTTTTGGTTGTTTGGTCCCGGCAAAAAAATAAGCGTCTGAAATAACGATTAATCAGGAATAGATTCTAATTAAAAAAATTAATGAATTCTCATCTTAGATTTTAATGCATAGATAACGAAAATTCGTGCAAGAAAAAGTAGTATGAATTCTTATTATTTATAAAAAAATGGCCAAATATTTCCGAACCTCAACAATGCCTCAAGAAATAAAAAAGTTCTCATAGATGTAGAAGATGACCTTTGAATTTGTAAATATGATGCTAAATCTTTATGATTTTATATGACCTCAAAACCTTACTAAACTTTATATCTTGCACCTTGTACTTTCATTCTTCGTCCCAAACTTCACGCATTCCTTGCCAAATTGCGCCATACATAAATTAAAACATTGGCGCAAGTCGCAATAACCAAGCTAATTTAATTTTCAGGTCGACCACACAATGTGTCTTAAGAAACATTCCAAATAAATTTAGAAACTTTGACGAATTTTATTTTACTCACCTCTCGCTTCCCGTTTCCCCCATGGATTTCTCCACCACCGTTGAAGCTCCACTCCACCGTGGGTTCCGGCACACCCACTGCGACGCAATCCAATCCCAGCTCTTTCTTCCATGGAATTTCAACCGTTCCGTCGCTATTTTCGCGGAAACTGAAAAACAATTAGGAAATCTTGGGGATAATCAATATTAAAAAATTCTCGAGATATTAAATTCTGCCCGAGTTATGATCAGGGCTGCATTTCACGACCAATTTCTCATCTGGTTCTGAGTATTAGTCTAAGTAATTACAACCTGGAGACTGGGCATCTCGTGGATTTAATGGAGTAATAAAGTTGGTCGAGAAAGAGTAATTAGTTCCGAAGAGGAGCAATTATTACGGCAAAAAACCAGCAATTAAGCTCAAAACTTGATTACTTTCTCCGCCTCTGCTGGGCAACCGTAAAGGGGTGTGTACATGTAAAATGTGTAAACTTTTGGAAATTTACAGATTCTATAAAAGTTTGCACTTGAATTAAGAAAAACAGAAATCAAAGTACAATTTGTTTTTGTGAATTTGCATATTACACAGGTAAAGGGTGTCGTTTTGTTAAAAATGGTAATAATAATTTCAGGGAAATTCAAATTCATTACCAAATATTAAGGAAGTGAATACCAGTATGTACTAAATTTGAATTTCCCTGAAATTGTTATTACCATTTCTACTACAAATCGTAACCGACGTGGTAGAGCCACATAGTCATTCCGCATGGTAATGATTCATTACTACCTTATTTTGAGTGTACCGCTTGGTATTATTTTAATACTGGATTTCTTAGAGGGCGTACTACTACGCGCAATCGAGTTTTTTGGTCAAGGCGTCGTATTTATGTGTTAATTTTAATTAATGTAGTGTAAAATTCTCAGGAAATGAATCACATGATTTCTGCACAGTGCCTGACTGGAGAACTGTAGAGAACTAAATTATGTTTTTGGACCGAAAAATTTGCCTTGTTATTCGGCTGCAGATGAATTTTTTATGTAAATTCATAGTTAATTCAGATAAGGATATTTGTGTAAGAAGGTAGAATTGATAAATTTATAGGCTCCGTTTACACAATGGTGGGACATTTACGAGTGAAAATCAGGCTATGAATTGATTATTTTACATAAAGTAATGGTAATGTTGTTAAGTTTGTAGTTTATATTTTATAAAATTTGCAGACCTTAAGTCAGCTGCAAATTTCTGAGCAAATTGCCTAAATTGGTTAATTTATGTGTAAAAATAATTACACAAAGGTGAGACGACTACAAGAAAAAAATCAGGCCACGAATTGATGATTTTTCAGATCTTAATAATTTTTTGAAAGTTCGTACTTATGCTTTACAAAATTTGCACGGTTTAACTTGGTTGCAAATATTTACGTGAAGGTTTGTCTTTGTTTTGTAAATTTGAAAAAGTTGTACGCCATTTTGCATTTTGTTGTTTAATTTAGCTTACATATTATTATTACTAGATAAGGCCGAAACGAGTCAAAATCATGAATTTGTATTACTCCAAAATATAGAATATTTTGGTGTAATATAGATTCATGGTAAAAATATGAGAGTTCGTGTTGAGAGTAAATGTTGAGCAAAGTTTACGCAAATATTTATTAAACCAAAAATCTGAAATAATTTGAATCCTTACCTTTATTGTTGGGTGGGGTGGAGGCGTTGATTCTTTTGGTGGGCGTGCCCTCCCCCACTCGAGTCGTGCAGCTAACCCAGAACTCGTACGCGGAGGCCTCCTTTAGCCCAACCCACTCCAGGCGAAGGTCCGGAAACGACACCAGCTTCTTCTCCTTAAATTGTTAAGTGGTCATTGTAAGTGAAACCTTGTAACGTATAATTACGCGTATAATGCAGATTTGCAGATATTGAAGTGGTCACGTCAACGCCTTATTTCATGTCGGAACTCGCTTTGCAAATAGTCTGCGAAACTCTAGCAACTGATTGGTCAAATTTACGAAACCAATGCCAAATCGTGTTCAAAATTTTGAAAAATTGTGTTGGTACTGGTAATGTTTGAGATTTCCGAGTTTGATACACGTAGATTGTTGTCACTACGCGTAGAGGTAATTTATGATGATTGCGAATTATGAATTGCCATTGTGCAACCTTTAAACTAGTTTCGAAAACTAATTTAAAATCATGCCAGTATTTATGAATGTTAATAATTGAACAACTTCATGTCTAGGTGAGTATCCGCCGATGGATATGCACGTACCTATCAAAAATTGTTTATGCTTATTAATAGCGACGAAACATTTTATTTTGTGCGTATCGAATTTCACAAAATAATGTAGGTACCTTAGTCTTTGCTAATCGGTTTTTAAATGTTTAATGAAGTGAATTATGAGGCAATTCACGCAATAATTATTTGGCAACTGGTAAAATCTGCAAATTTTATAAAAAGAAACCCTAAATTTCAGAAAATTTATGAGCTAATTTTCCTTAATTTTTTTTTAAATTTCGTTAAAGTTTGTAGCTTTACAGAATTTTCAAAGTTACCAAGACATGAATTGCTTCGTACTATTTCTTACCACTTTGGTCCCATCGGAGATTCTGGTGTAGACGGTGAATTTGACTATTTTTCCGTTGGGGTTTGCCAGAGGAAGCCACGAGACCAGGATGGACCGTCGAGAGGACACCACCCCCTTCAAATCCGACGGTGGAGACGGAACTGGAACAAAAATAGGGGGGAAATTAAATATCAAATTTTTTTTTGCAAATTGTGACGCCGATTAAGAATTTGTTGACTTTTTTTTTATTATTTTTACAGATCCGCAGATTCGGTTGCTGCATATTTTTTAATTTATCTTCTGGTAAGCACCGATATTTAGGTTGGACAAATGTTTATAACCTTTACCGAGGTAAGATGATTTTAAATTCGCCACATTTTTATGCAATGCAAATGAAATTTTGCACCCAATTTTCTACAAAGTGCAAATATTTACTGTGTGATAGATATCTCTCTCTCTTGTTTTACGCAACCATCAAAACGTTTTAGAACTTGAGGAAGTGCGATTGAGAATGGTAACGAAATGTAAATATTTACCCATGTCAAGAATTCGGTTTGATAAGTTGTAAATATACAAGTTTCAAAGGGACAGATTTTTGGAAGAAATGGAAATCGTTAACAAAATTCAAATAAAGTTGGGAACATTGTACAGAAAATTTTCATTTCGGGAAAATAAACCGTTATATATTAAATTACGTAACATTTCGAAATATAATAAATATCCAATTCTAATTAACTTTTGTAAACATTTAACAATTGTGTTGAGATTTTATGTAATTTGTTGTATTGGGACGCCGTTCCTAATAAAATTTTGATTTGCGGATCTTTGCCCCCCATTAAAAGCTACCCATGAAATGCTACCCATTATATGCTACCCGTGATGATCTGCTACCCATGAAATGCTACCCATTATATGCTACCCGTGATGATCTGCTACCCATGAAATGCTACCCATTATATGCTACCCGTGATGATCTGCTACCCATGAAATGCTACCCATTATATGCTACCCGAGATCATCTGCCCCCCATTATATCCTACCCGACCCATTTTCACTTTCTTCTTGCAAATTAAACCAAAATGGATACCCCGTTTTGCGTCGTAGTGCAACATAAGAGTTACTGTTTATTTACGCAAAATTAGTCAAATAATAAATTCTCATAAAACGAATCAATACATAAAATCTCGTAAAATCAGCCGAACAATAAATTCTCAAAAACCTAATCAATATATAAAATCTCTTAAAATCAGTGGAACAACGAATTTATTATTTGACTGATTTTACGAGATTTTACATAGTCTCAACTTAAAAAGTGATAGTAGAGCAGACGACTATATTAGATTAGTTTTTAGGAATACGTCCGAAATTAATTGACAAACTGTATCATTCCCGAGTCAGAAATTTATAAGATGACATTTTGAACAGGTTCCAATTGAGCTGAAATTTGGTACAGAGGTTGTTAATGGGTCCTAATGGAAGGATATGAATTGAAATTCAACACATTTTCGCCTGAACAGACACTTTGGGGTAACCCATACCAATTTTTCACATTCGTCAAATCGAGCTGAAATTTGATAGACAAATTGGTAATAGCTCCTAATTAATCTAAATTTTAAATTTTTTGAAATGCATTTACGATAAAATGTCATGCAAAAGTCGGATTGAGTGAAAATATATGTGCACCAACAAAAGTATAAGCTAGCCACCCGCTTGGCTGGAATTTACTTATGTTACGTCGAATATTAGTAGGATAATATTCTGAGAGTTTTAGGAAAAACTATTCGCTCGTTAAAAAGTTATGGTCATGGTCAATACTGGTGACCACTGGATATCACTATATCTTTTAATATGTTCATGTGCATTTACGATAAAATTTCATGCAAAAAAGTCGAATGAGAGTGATAATCACAACTAGGCCTGACTCGGGCTATATCAAGTCTGCACTGTAGGTTTTTAACATTGGTCAGTATAGGGAAAATTCCAGAATTTGTGAAGAAAAATATCCAAAAAAGTCAACTTTTTACCATCGAGTTTTCCACAAAATACCAAAGAAGCACTCGCATTTTGAGAAAATTTGAGAAATTTACATTATTTTTAAATACGTGATATGACGTACTTGGTCCTCAAGATTTTATGTATTGATTCGTTTTATGAGAATTTATTATTAGACTAATTTTGCGTAAATAAACAGTAACTCTTATGTTGCACTACGACGCAAAACGGGGTATCCATTTTGGTTTAATTTGCAAGAAGAAAGTGAAAATGGGTCGGGTAGGATATAATGGGGGGCAGATGATCTCGGGTAGCATATAATGGGTAGCATTTCATGGGTAGCAGATCATCACGGGTAGCATATAATGGGTAGCATTTCATGGGTAGCTTTTAATGGGGGGGCAAAGATCCGCACACCCATGAAGTCAAAGATTGATCCAAACTATGCGCATCATATTAATGCCCGTAAGTTGTGGGTCAAAGTGTATTTAAAGAAATTTGCAACAACACATACGAAAGGTCAAGAAAAAATGATGAATGCAAGCCCTCCCAAGCCTCTCAACAAAATTACACCAAAACATTTGGTTAGTGGCGATGAGCCTTACGCCGTTCAAAACGTGCCAGAAACTCCGGGAAGGAAATTTTTTCATGGGAAATATATCTCTCAACTGAAAACCGAATAGAAACTAAAATGTTGTTAAAAATTTCCGACAAAATTCCGGTTTTGGCCGGCGCTGGGTCAATTTGGGCATGTTTCGGACCCCTAATTTCAAGAAGGCTGCACGGGCAAACAAGTTTATTTTCGGAAATGTGTGATAGACCGTCGGATTCTTTTCATCAAGAAGTATCAAAAAATATAGACTGTAATTTTTTGGCCCGACCTTGCGACCATCCACCATGCAATAACGGTCAATGAAAGTTTGGAATTGAAAGATGAAAGTCACCCAAACGTACCTCATCTTCACTCACAAAAATGATTTTGGGCTCCGTGTAAGAAGTAATACTCGTAGGTTTCTGAAACAGTCAATACTTTAAGAAAATTTCTGTTACGGGTGGAAAAAATTATCAATGAAGTTGCAAAGTCTTCCGAAAAAGCATTAACGGCGGACGCGAGGAAAAAGGTTAAATACGGGATGGGCAATGGATTTAAGTACCTTTTGTTTGTGGATATCTATGGTCAGATATATTTAGCATATTTCATCAAAATTTGAGATTCCTAGAACCATTTTTTGACAATTGGTAGGACAAAATGTCCCATCACCACTATTTCCCATGGGCTCTCTAATTCACACAGGCCTTCGTAACTTTGTAAAATCCATAAAATCCGCAAACCTACAAACTTTTAAAAATTAAAATATTTCGAAGGAAAATTAGTCCACAAATTTTCGTAAACTTACGCAAATCTCTTAATTTTGTAAAAGTTTGCAAAATTATTTTACAAAACTTACGAATTTTACAAGTTACCAATGGCTGCGTGATATGCCTCAGTATTGGCGGTCCTTTTACTTCGTAATAAAAAATGTTCATGTGAACAATTTGTAGAAGAATAGAGGAAAAATCTGTGGAACAAATTTAGTTTCAAAAGACGTCGTTTTAGAATTTTATGCAAAATTTATAACTTTGACACCACTACAGATAAATTATAAATGACACATTATTACAACAAATTACACAGATTTTGTAAAAGTGGGCGTGAGAGCTAGCGACACCATAAAATCGTGAAGGCTTTTGTAAACTTACTCCGGCCTACATATTTTGTACAAGTTTGAAAAATTAGTTTACAAAAGTTGCGTATTTTATAAAATTATCAAGGACTGTGTGAATTGCCTCAATATTTCATAATTTGAAAAAGAGACAATTTGCAATCTTGCAAATCAAAAACCTTGCAAAAATATTGCGAAGTTAGTAAACAATTTTTAAATAAAAATGCTGCCATTCTTACCGTCCTCTTCCGTCCTGCATAAGAGCGGGGTTGAGACGGCCCCATCCCCGACGACGGTGAATCCTCGCACGGTGACGGAATAATTGGTCCATTTTCGCAACCCGTGCAAAACGAGGTCTCTCTCCGTCGTCACTTTGGTCTCGATCTGGTCCCCCGACTCGGCCTCGCTGCCCGGCCCCCCCTCGTCCCCCCCCCTCCGACGACGAGGACGTCCACTTTGTAGCCTTGCACGACCCCGTGACGCGCTTCGAGCGGGGGTGGTTCCCAGGTCAAGGCCAAACTTTGCGGGGAGGTCGATCTGCACTCAAATTTTTCAGGAGGCTGGGTGGGCACTGAAAAAAATTATTTTATTACAAATTTTTTTTTCTGAAAATTTAAAATTTAAGTTGAATAATTTTTTAGCAATAATTTTACGCCAAAATTGAGAAACTAATAAATCACGTGTATGAAGTGAAATTTCGTAGGTAGTGTGACATAATTTTGCAATTATCTTTGGCAATTGAGTACTAAATTATTTGTATTATAGCAATTCACGCAAACATTGGTAATTTTGTAAAATGCGTACGTTTTGTAAAAAAAAGTTACAAACTTACGTATTCAAAATAAAAAAAAAACGCCCTTGATCTTAGCCAATCTTCAAAACTTAGTAAGCTAATTTTCCTGAAAAATATTTTTACAATGTAGTAAAAGTTTCGTAAATTTATATTTTTTATATGAGCTAGAAATTTCCTTCGGGTTGCATTACTAACACTGCGATGACGCCAGCGGTCTCGATCCGATTTTGGTGAAACTTGGATAATTATCTAGGTAAATAATTCAACACGTGTTTCGGGATTTTTCATAATGCCCAGTTTAAACAAAGTCATGATGGTATAAGTAGCCTAAAAATTCACATTTTTCTCCCTCAAAAACAAAAAAAAACCCAAACTTCACGAGAAAAATGTGAATTTTTAGGCTACTTATACCATCATGACTTTGTTTAAACTGGGCATTATGAAAAATCCCGAAACACGTGTTGAATTATTTACCTAGATAATTATCCAAGTTTCACCAAAATCGGAGCGAGACCGCTGGCGTCATCGCATTGTAAGTATAGTGAATACGTGTGAAAGGAAGGGAACAAGTAAGTAATGCAAAAATTCATGAAATAAATTAATTGTAACCCTGTAAAATACATTTTAACTCCTGGTCAAGTAATCCTGGTCAGTAAATAATGAGGGAAAGGTTACCAATTTGGTAATAATTGTTATCCTCGTTTGTTACGCAATTAGAAATAAATTGTCTGTTTGTGATTTTATTAATAATTTTCTAACAATATTTTATACAGTTTTATGCCGATGTGTAATAATTTGCCAGTTTGAGAAATTCGTAAGTATGAAAAGGTTATGTATCAATCATACAGTTAGATAAATAAATTAGAAGGTAGCAATTTTAGAAAATGGAAAACGGACATAAAATTTCGTCCTATCAACGAAGAAATTCACGCAGTCATTTGTAACTTTGTAAAATCCGTGCGTTTTCTAGAATCATTTTACAAACTTTTACAACATAAAGGGAGGCCCTTGGGCTGAGTAAGTTTAACAAAATTTGGGAGCTAATTTTCCTTCAAAATATATTTTGTTTAATTTTGTAGAAATTTGTAACTTTACAGGATTTGCCATGTTACCAAGGCCTGCGTGAATTGTCTCAATAATTCGAGTTTTGATCAGTACATTTAGAGTGTCAACCATGCAGACTTTGTAGAAAGTAAATCCGCGTGAAGATGGACTTATTACAAATTCATGACATCCGATCCATCACGTGCTGACACCTTTCACTCTCAACTTTCAAACTTTAATTCAAATCGGGTGAAAGTGCTGGCCAGGTGTCAGCCCCGATTTAACTCAGCAACGCATCCACCCAAGCTAATCTGCATATTTACATGGGAACCCGACATCAAACATGGATTAATGTTAGTACGGATGGGAAATAGGATGTGTCTCAACCCCGTTAAGACTTATCGCACGCTCCATGACGTAAGAACACTTCTCATGGATCCATTTCACTCTCAAAATGAATAATTTATGTGAACTACACCATTCCAAAAGTGTTTCAAGTACCATTTTTACATGGTTTTTTGCAATTTAAAATTTTAGTAGATTTCAAATTAGTACAATTTCAGTTTCAAAATATAGGACAACTGCTTGCTAATACTTTACAGTGAGACATAGTTCACGCAAAACTGTAAAATCTCTAAATTCCATACACTTTCAAAGTTCCACTCGTATTTTTAAAGAAGATTAGGTTACAAATTTTTGTAAACTTCCTCAGATCAAGGGCGTCTCTTCATTTTGTAAAAGTTTGTAAATTATTTTACAAAATTTACCGATTTTACAAAGTTACCAAGAACTACGTGAATTGTCTCTGTATTTAGAGGTTCTTTCATACTTAATACAAATCTGTATCTGCAGAATTAAAAAAAAACAGAGGATAGATAAGCACAAATAATCTTCTTAAGTTGGTTCAGAAATTAATGCTAAATTGATAACTTTCACGCCACTATAATAAAATCATAAATTGAGGAAATTTAAACTAGTTAGGCAGATTGATGGAAAACGAATTCGTCCCGCACAAAAGTTGATTTTGAAGATTATTTAGTTAAAAATTGAGTTTTTCAATTTTACTCAACCTTTACCCAGAGTTAAAGAATTTGTAAAGGCTACACAGTTTTGATTCACTAAAAATTGTACAAATGAAGTTGTAAAATTTCCGAAGAAATTTCTTAAATTTGTCTGTTTCAAAAGTAATTTCATAAATTTTACAAAAATTATTTATTTATACACAAAGCTGACGTAAATGATGCTTTTTTTGCGGACCGTCTTGCAGCGTGGTGGCGACGGTGGGCCTGCTCGAGGGTCCGGCACCCTTCGCATTGAAGGCCTGCACGACGATAGCGTATCGTGTAGAATAGCAGACTCTACCCGAGAAAGTACCCTATCTTAAAATCGTGTCGAAGACCGTGATGAGAAACTTGTGTGTGCAAAGACTAAAAGACCACTGACATGTCCACTGACATGTCGTGAACGCAAGACCACTGACAAAAGTCAGTGGTCTTGCGTTCACGACCGATTCCACGGAACAAATGCAACTCTCAAGTTGATGGTAGTCCACTCGACTGTTACCCAACATTCTTCTTAATAAATCCTTGACTATCTTGATAAGGCGTTCCCACCAGCCTCCCCACCACGGTGCGGAAGGCGGATTAAAGATCCAATTAATCCTCTTCATGGCGGTCTCCTTCTCGATCTTCTTCCAATTCAACTCTTTAAAATAGTGGGACGCTCCAGTGAAGTTGGTCCCATTATCACTGTAGATGGTGGTGGGGCGTCCTCTTCGTGCAATAAATCGCTCAAGAGCCAGCAAAAAAGATTCAGTGGAGATTGAGCCGACCAACTCCAAATGCACGCATCGGTAGACTGCACATGTGAATAGGCAGATCCACACCTTGGTCTTATTTTTGAGGAACAGTGGACCAGCAAGATCCACCCCCGTCACTTCGAAAACTTTTCCCATCTTGACTCGAACAGAAGGTAGAAGTCCAGCAGGCACTTCCGGCTTCTTCATGGAAAATCTCTTGCATATTGTGCAGGAATGGATTACTTTCTTGATGGCTTGTCGACCTTGTAAAATCCAATATTTCTTGCGCAGGTGTCCCATCAGGAATTGAGCACCAGCGTGTCCATTCATGCAATGTTCTTCACGGATTAACTGCTCTACAATTGGGTGAAACTTTGGGAGCAAGACTGGCTTCCGGAAGCTTTCACTTTCATCACTTTGCAATAGCTTTGTCTTGGCGCATATTAATCCATCTTCTCTGATAATAACTTCAATTCCTCCAATGATGTTGGTACCTTTGGGGAATGAATCTTGTTGAATTAACTTCATAATAGTCGCTTCAGCCGCTTCCACTTCTTTCACGGTAAGATTTCGGCTGTGGATTCTTTCACATCTTGATCGGGTGGCGTTGTGGTGAAAGCGTTTCATCCATCCGACCACACACACATTCTTACAAAAAGATGAAAATCTCTCCGCACACCAGGTCGCGTGAGGCGGAGTGACCACTGCCATTTTCACGGCAGCTGACTTTTTCTTCTCAGCAGTTATTTCTTCTTCGTTAATTTCAAAATCTTGACTCGGCCAACTATTTTGATCTTCTCTTAACCAGTCGGGTCCCTTCCACCATCTTGATTCGACCAATTCTCTTGCGTTACAGCCTCTTGATGGAAGATCCGCCGGGTTCAATTTGCCAGGGACGTGTTTCCACTGTTTGGCATCACTCATCTTCAAAATCTCTCTGACTCTGTTCCCCACAAATGTGCCCCATTCATTGTTCCTCTGGATCCAGGACAATGCGGTGGTGGAGTCCGACCAAAAGGTTGTGGGAACATTTCTCATATTCAGGGACGTGGCGACAGAGTTCTTTAATCTGGCAGCGATGGTGCACCCCAATAGCTCCAGTCTTGGTATTGTTGTCTTCTTTAATGGTGCAACTCTCGATTTAGCTTGAAGTAGATGGATTTTGACATCATCTTCACTTGACACTCTTAAAAATATGACAGCCGCATAAGCAGTCTGGCTGGCATCACAAAAGACGTGGAGTTGGATATTCTTCTTCTCCATGTCTGCTCCACAGCTTATCCATCTTGGTATCCTGACCTCTGTGAGACAGGCGAGCTCCTCGTACCACTTCTTGTAGTTGGTGACGATGTCATCAGGCAACTCATCGTCCCAACCCAACTTATTTGCCCACACTTCTTGTAACATCACCTTCGGCTGCAAAGTAGTTGGACTGCTAAATCCAATGGGGTCGAAGATTTGTCGAACTTTTGACAAAATTTCTCTTTTTGTCAGCTTCTCAGATATCTCGGGCACTTTTACTTTGCATCTTAAACTGTCTTCTTTCTTGTTCCAAATCAGTCCCAGCACCATTGTGTCCGGCGGCTGGTCGGAATCTTGATCCATCTCAATAAATGATCGCTCCCACTGACAAAGATCCATTTTAGCATCTTCCATGATGTCGATGGATTCTCTCTTAAAATCTTCATATTCTTGAATACTTCTGACGGAGGTCACACAATTGTCTACATAAAGTGACTCCAATAACTTCTTAGCGGTGTGTTGCCATTCTTCTTTTACGGACTTCAAGTGCTTCTCTAAAACGGCAGCCAAAATGAAGGGACTGCAATTGATCCCGAACACGACTCGATTGTGCCGGAACTCAATAACTCTCGAGCAGGTGAAGTCCTCCCACCATAGGAACCGCAGAAAATCTCGGTCTGGTGGTTTGATCTCGATCATCTGAAAAGCTTTGCGGATGTCCGACACCACTCCTATCTCATTCTCTCGGAAACGCAGGAGAATGGAAGGGATAAGCTCCATGAGATTTGGACCCTTCTCCAAGCATTCATTGATTGAAGGGGCTCTTCCTACTTTGCATGACGCATCGAATACCGGTCGCACTGGGGTCGTGACGCTTTCCGGTTTGAAAACGGGACGATGCGGTAAGTAGTGGCTCGGCTTGTTCTTATCTGCATCCGTCACCACTTCAATAAACTTCTCCTCAATCCATGCCTTAAAAATCTTGTCATAAACTGCAAACTTCTCTGGATTGAGTTTCTGTATTTGTGACGACAGTCTCTTCATCGCCACAATCTTGTTCGTCGGGATCTCAGGCTCTCCACCCACCAAGGCAGAGCGATGGAATATCTCCCGTCTTCTTTTCTTGAAACTGTCTTGGTAAATTGGACAACTGCTTCGGCGTCTCTCTCAATTTGTGTCTTGGATTCGGCTGGATCCTTGATGCCAATAGTTTCCAGGTTCCAGAGCTCGCTCACGTCGCCTTGACCCAGAAACAACTTCACGCATGACATCGCGACATTATTCTCGCCGTCTCTTGATGATGATGACACTTGTCCACTCAATGTCCATCCAAACACGGTGTTCACTGCCACCAAGCTCGAACTCACTTTAATTGGCTTACTTGTTACCAACTTTCCCCAGAAGTCACTTCCGATAAGAATTTGTACATCCGGGTTGTCAATCTTGCTTTGCTCCCAATCCGTGAGAACAATCTTCTTTTTTCTTAATTCCTGCACCCATGGTCCTGGTCGCACTCGAGGAATTCCACCGCAGATAACAGAGGTCTCTCGTAACAAAATGATATGGCTGGAACGACCATCTAAACTTTGAATTTCGATCTTGAATTTCTTAACTTTCTTCATCTCTGTCACTTCACCACCGAAGAGCACATTTCGTGACCATTCTTCTCCAACAGGTCTGCTGCCAATGCTGGAGATGAGAGATGAACTTATATTACTGTTCTGGCTCCCTTCGTCGAAAACTAATCTGGCGATTCTTGATCCGGAGGGGCCCTTAACTCGAACTAGCAAGGTCTTCAATAACACATCCTTGCTGCAGGCGTAATTTGCATTCACTGCAGTAGTAATGCTGTCAGGGGGAACAGGACTTTCTCTTGCAAAATCTGGCTTCTTGTTGACATCAAGCTGAGAACACATCGGCTTATGATGAGGGCCAGAACAGGTAGCGCAACTAACTTTCACTTGCAGCTATCCTTCCTATGTCCAGGTCGGAAGCACTTAAAACACGCACCTGCCTTTCTTAAATGATGACTCTTTTCTTCCCAAGACATCTTCTCGGTCTTGAAACAGTCCTTACTTTCATGGTTTGACTTGGAACAGAAAACACATGACTTCTTTGCCTGTCCACTAAAAAGTCCAGCTGCAGTTGCTATCTTCTCATCTTCTTCATGCTTGTCTTTTGCAGCTTTGGACTTATTCTTGTTCTTGTCTTCTGCTTTCTTGGTGTCGGGTGGCTTCGGAGGACACACTCGGCACGCAACTTTCACTTCGATTTCCACCCAATCAGCAAACTCCTCTAAAGTTGGTTTCTGAGGCGAGGAAATCACAATCTTCTCCCAGACATTCCTTGTTGTAGGGGGAAGCTTTCTCACTAATTCTTGTAATAATACTGGATTCTTGAGATGATCCAGTTCTCCTAAATTCTTGATGGTCGCCACCAAATTCACGACGGCGGTGCCAAACTCTATCATGGTCTGCGGCTTATCTTCTTTTACAGCGCCGACAGTTCTCATCTTATTTACCATTGTCTCAAGGATAACGTCCGCTTGCCCGTACTTCTCTTCTAAAATCTTGAGCACTTTTGGGAGTGAGTTCGGCGAAACGAGTAAACACTCCACACTCTTGGCGGCGTCGCCTCGAAGACATTTCCTAATCCTCTCGACATTCTCCGCATCCGTGAATCCACACGACGCGGTGGTCCTCTTAAAAGTGGCGATGAAGGAGGGCCACTCCTCTGGTCGTCCACTAAAGATGGGCAGATCTCGTCCTATTGATTAACGTACCAACATCTTCTCAGTCACTGATTGGGTTGGTTTATTGCTACTTAAAACTTGTAATAGTGTTTGGTTTTGTGTTTGCAAGGACTGAACGATAGAATCCAATGCTGACGATGAGCCACTTGAATTCTGATTCCTTGCAATACCAAGTCCAACTCCATCCTCATTTACAGGGCTGACATCTCTCTTCACATTTTCAAATTCATTTGTCGTCCCTTCTGCACCAGCATCATCGTCGTCAGACCCCAAATGCTGATCCTCTTGCTCGTCGATTTCAGCCAAATCTACTGCCATGTCCATGTCAAGGCAGACGATTTCTCCTTTGTTCCTCTCAATTTTCCTCTTGGAACGAATGGCTGAAATCTTCGTCTTAGTTTTCTTCTCACTAAGCTCTTGACTTAAATCTGCAATTTCTTGATGCATCTTCAAAACATTCTCAGGGATGTGGAGTGGATGACTCGCGTCGAGCAACTCCATCTTCTTCTTGAGCATTTCTTCCATGGAGTCGACCTCACACTGTTCAATTTCCATTTTCTCTTGCAGGTCATTCATCTCTGCAATTAGCAAGGCTTTTTTCTTTTGATTCTCTGCTTTGGCTTGGAGTCGTTTCCTCTCATAACTTGATCGTGTGGATGGAGCCGCAGCTTCACTTTTCTTCCCAAAAGGCCACACTCTTGATAAAAACGACGCTCCTTCTTTCACAGGGCTGGTGGATGGCTGTTCTTCAACGTTGTCCTCCGATTCCAGGTCTTCCTGTGTCGTCTTCACTTCCTTGCTTGAACTCGGGTCGAAACTCACAGGCGGCTGTCGAGGCCTGTCTCCACGGCGCAATGTCGGGGTTCCAATTCCTTTGTCCATCTCGAAGCTTCCAGTGGACTAAATACTCCCAACAAAATACAACTTATTAGTAAAATCCAGGTACTCGATTACTGGAACGTTACAACCTGGTCGCGCTACACTTTGGGAAGATACCCTGGGCTGTAGCAAACCGCTTTCTCAGTGTTTATCCGCTCCTCCAAAGGTCAGAACTCTTCTCATCTGGGCCTCGATCACGTCGAGGTCACCAAAAAATGTAGAATAGCAGACTCTACCCGAGAAAGTACCCTATCTTAAAATCGTGTCGAAGACCGTGATGAGAAACTTGTGTGTGCAAAGACTAAAAGGTTGAATCGAACCTCAATGTTTAATTAATAAACTAGACAATTTATTAGCTTTGACAATAACTCTCAAACTTAACTGACAAATGGGGATTGGAATTAATTAAATTTTACTTATTTATTGCAAATCATAAAAAAGATGACTGCTCTCATTCAACTTGACTTGTTGACTGTGCAACGGCTACTTACATACTAAAAAACTCACTCACACAAAAGAAGGGGGAAAAATCTGGAAGGATTTTGGAGTGGGACGTTTGAACAAGTGGGGAATTTTGAGAAATGAGACACAGAATATTTCACATATCGCGTAAACTTTCGTAAATTGTCGATCGTCGTTTCACCGCCAAAGTCTTGGCCAACCTGAAAATAATACGGCAAAACTTAATATAAACACCTTCTTTTTTTAACGAATAATGTCAGAAATTTGCAGAAAAAATTTTATTGCATACTAAAACATGAAATAAGGGAGTTTAATCAAAGTTTTACAAGAAATGGGCGATTTGGAAAATATATTTATCTTCTTTTTGTAATTAAGTAACTCGAATAATTGCATTGCAACTACCTAAATTTACAATTAAGGTTTACACAGATTATGAAGGAATAGTATCTGGTTAAAAATCTATATTAAATTTTGTATACTTTAATGTTAAAAAACTTTCCGAAATCCACTCCGAATGACCGGATCAAAATAAATTTTTCAAATTTTTAATTTTGTTATTAAAATAAAACGGGTGTAATTTGTATTTAAAATATTTGTACAACTTTGACGAGTTAAGTTAAAATTTGAGAATTTCAACGATAAAATGAAAAAATAGGTGGGTGGTATGACAAATTGGGATCAAGTATGAAAGACAAGGTTTTCAAACTTGTCAAGAAATGGCTCGAAAATCTGCCTCCATTTTCCTAAAGAAACCTCAAATTTCAACAAACATATTTTGTAAAATTTCCCAATTTGTAATACTGATACCTCCATTTAAAAAAAATGTACACAACCCTATCAAAAATGAATACCTACTGTCATCCATTTTGCACCTTTCTCCTTTAAAAATAATCATCCACGTACTTTCTCTCAATTCACTAAACTTCTTTCATCGCACATCACGAGAGCTTTCCCAAATCAGAATGTCAGGCCGTCTCATCATTACCACAGGGAGGATATTTATTTATGAAAAATATGTACTTAATATTTGCGAAAAACGTCACGAAATTACGTTTACGAAATATGTACGAAAAACCATAAAAATCAAAATTTTCACATAATTTGTGCTTTCAAATATAAACATGGGTAAAAGATTTCCGTATTTTTCAAATAATGATAGAAATATTTATATGTCTATAAATAAATATGCATCCATAAGTGCAGATATTTAGAAATTTTATCTATGCGAGTTAAGGGACACACCCACAAAGTTTGGCCGTCGGTCGTTATTAAATGGAAAGTTGAAAATAAATATATAACCGCACTCTGCTCATCACCTCACTTACATCGCACAGCATTACACACAATGTTCTCCTCCTGAGCGACAAGACTTTTTCACTTTCACTCTCCACTAAAAAAAGAGAAAGTGGGCAGGCGAGAGAGAAAGTGGATCCCTCCGCGGGGACCCGTTAAACGACTTAATGCTCTCATTTGGCCCGTGAAAGGAATCCCCGACCCAAGAAAAAGTTCCGTCATTTGCGAAAACAAAGGGAATATGGACTCCAATGCGTTCGAAATTTTTGAAAAACTATTCACATTTTATTCCTCCAGTTTATAGGTGAATTGAGAAATTTAGTTTTATTGGATGGGTGTCTCCTATTTTGGAGGGAAATGAGAAAAGTTTTTGCTGCTTGATTTTTAATATTTTCATGGTTCGATCAGCTCAGTGGAAGAATAAATATGTACCATAAAAATTTTGATGAAAATATCGGTAACCCTTGAAATAGAATAGATTGAAATATTGGTAAATTTTTTATTATGAAAAGTTGAGAGAAATGTTTTCGTTAGGAGACGTCCATGAAAAATGCATACATGAAATGCATGTAAAATCATGAAAAATTCATATATTCAAAATTTATTAGGTAATTTCAGACTTAAATTTAACAATCAACTAATTAAAATATATAAATTTTTAGTTTTTATTTTTATTAATTGGTGAGCATATATTAAAAATGAGGGAATTTTCTCCATTACAAATTGTGCTAAATTGTTGGTTATATTTAGCCTTAGCGTCCAAGTGGAGGTTGTTTATATTTCCAATTTAATATGTTCCTAGCCCATAATGAATCTGTTTAAATACATTAAACGTTTATAAACTCTGGAAAAATATCAAAACCGACGTCCTGCTAAAGACCGTAAACATTCTGTTCTTAAATAATTTCCCGTTTTCTGGATAAATTTGGCAACACATTCGTATATTTGTCGAATAAAAAGTGTTTAAAACTCGGAAATTTTGCACACTCTTGCAAGTTGAGTTGATGAAAATTATAAATTTTCCTTTCCAACTTAACTTCCACGAATCTTCAAGGTCCACAAAATTTCAAAAATGTAAAAATTCAACATACCTCCACCGTTTTAAAGTGGTATCCATGCAAGTCGGCCAAATTTCCGTGTAAATGTGAATGCAGCAAGCTCCTCCCATTTTCCCCCGTCATGGTCACACCCGCATTTCCATCCTCCTGTGAAAGCAGCACGGGGTGATCGGCCAGAACGAGGGAGAGTTCTCGGTAGCCGAGATAATAGCCCAAAATCTGCCCGTGCCAGAGCGCCCTTTCCGGCGGGGCCCAACGGACCCTCAGTCTCGTGGAGGAATCCGCTTCCGCCACGATTTCGATGGGCGGGCCTTCGGGGGCTTCCTCGGTCGTCGTGATCTGAACGACTTCGGAGGGCGGGCTGCAGCCGACGCCGTTTTGGGCGAGGACGCGGAGATGATAAGTCGACGATGGGGTTAGGCCTTCAACGAGCGAGGTGGATTGGGTCGCGGGAACGGCAAGTTCTTCCACTTCGGCTTCTGTCCAGGTTTCTAGAATGAACGAAAAATGTATAGGATTAATTTTAATGCGGGAATTTAATTTAATTTAAGATTAGGGTTTTATTAACATTTTTCAAAATAGGATCACTATGAGTCTCCACCAAGCAAATAAAGGTAGCATAAATTTCCGCGTAACTCACGCTTGAAATCGTGAAAAAAATGAAAAGTTAAAATTTCTACTCAAGGTGTATCAAGTTTCAGAGAATATAAAATTTTATTCAAAAAAAAAAAAACTAAAAATAATAAAAGATTACGAAAATTTATTTTTAAAAAGTTTTGAATAACTTGATTCGTGAAAATTGTAATTATTATTTTTCAATCGCAAAAATTTTGACTTGAAACTCAAATTTGGCATTTCCCGAGTAGAAATTAGTAACAATGTTAAATCTTTCTGGAAATAGGGTAACCGGTGACGATTTTATTGCCAACGTTTGAAAAACCTACAGTTTATTTTTTAACCTTAATCTATTAGGTTTTGCATAAAAACTCTTAAATATTTATGTCGGCTTGTTATTCTAGCAATTCTAGCAAAAAAATTTTATTACTATTTATGTAACAGCCAACGTAAATTCTACGCCATGACACGTCTCATTTGCATACCGTCCTAATTAAAAACCTCACTGTTTCAACAGATTGGACTCGTTTGCTTGTTTTCTCTCCCATTAAAAACATTTCTCAAAATTCATAACAGTTTCTCATTAAATTTATTTAAATTATTTCTTTCCTTCCTGAAAACATTTCTCGTCTTGTTAGTCCCGACATTAATTTCTTTCTGCGCTGACACAAAGGAATAGAAAGTGGAGAAAGTGAAGCTAATAAAAAAATAATAATAATGATAGCAAAACAAGCATGAAATTCGATGAACGTATCTTTCTTCTCCCCCTGCACAACCATACCCGGGTATTTTATCCGGCTAAACACGCTAAATAATCGGGCAACAATTTTGGCTTTGGCACCGAGGTGGTAACAAATTTTAAGCGAATATCTCCGTCAGTTAGTCACGCAGGCGTTGGTATCTTTTTAAAATTGTAAAATAAATTTCCAAATGTTTAAAGTTTTTATTTTCTCAGTGGCAAATATCTGACCTAATTTACTCAAATTGTAATCCAAATTTTACGAATTTTAATTTTTGTCGTTGTTTCTACTCGTTTCTTGAGTAGTTAACAAATTCATTGGAAACTCCTGTTTCTATTTTCTTCGTACTAAATTCTGAGGCAATTCACTCAGGCCGGGTATTTTATCCTGCTAAAAACACTAAATGATCCGGGGAAAAAATAGGCTTTGACACCGAGGTAGTAACAAATTTTAAGCGAATATCTCCGTCAGTCAGTTACGCAGGCGTTGGTAACTTTTTCTAATCCACACATTTCGTTGCAATGATTTTGCAAATCTTTAATATTGTTATGCAATTACGAACATCCCATCTAAACAATTCAAGTTTTATAATCGAAATTCCGTGAATTTTAACTTTCGCCGCTCTGACTTCTCATTTCTTGAGTAAACAACTTAAATTGAAAACCCCGTTGCTTACTTTCCTTTGCTTAAATACTTAGGCCTTGATAACTTTATGCAATTCGTGAGTTTTATAAAATAATTTTGCAAACCTTCCTAAAATAAACCGTTACAAAGAATGTAACCAAGGGGTGAAAGTAGTGTGTTATCCGTCAACCAGAACATCATATTGTGTTTG